ATGATAGGTCCATGAGATAATAAAGATCAACAGGATAGTCGACGGCTTGACGGTAAGTGACGTTGAAACGAACACGTGATTCTTAATGAATATGTTCTGGTTAGCCCATTTTGGTATTTTTCAATACTCATATAAGGCAAAGATAAACTAACTTGGTCTTATTTCCACAAACATCTCCTGCGGTTTGAGTTGAACGGCATCATCTTCATTCTCAACCTGTCCCTTGTCAGACAGTGGTTCATCCTACGAATACAAGAGGATACAAACAAATTCGGATGGAAAAGTTCGCTTAAACCCACCTTTTCTACTTCCAGAACAGTCTGAGGATCTTCAATGTAAGATTCAGGGCATCCGTGCTCAAGTAATCTAGCGCGATTGTCGCATCTTGCATACTGCTTCTTGGCATCAAACAGCTAAATAATAAGAAGCATCCTAACATCCGTACAAAAACAAAAGATTAAGGAGAACCCAATCACTAACCGGAGCCCCACACCAAGCACACGAATCGTGCAGTTGAATGCATGCGCTGCAGGTGTAGTTATCTCTTGAAAGCGAATAACACGGGAAATCCTTCCTTCCCTCAACGACTTCACCAGTTACTAAAATAGTAATTCAAAAATACTCGAATAACTAGAAATTTCTGTTCTGAACAAGAAAAACTAACCATCACCCGTTTTCCAGTCGCTGACATCCGCAGCAAGAACTGAGCTTGCCAGCAGCAATATGGCAAAAAGCAACATTCCCTCAAATAGAGACAATAATTGGCAAGTATGCTAAGGTATCTCTCATAATGTTTGCCTCATCACCTTATCCTGCTCAGATGTTCCTCAGCGCTTCCTAAAACACGCGCCTACCGCGGCACAGGTACCCTTAACATTGCCCAAATTATCCAAAAGAAACAACCAGAATAGATAAGAAGAAACGTAACGAGCAGCAACAGAAGAGGTAAAAAGATGAAAATAAGAGAAGAGGGTTTATACACTTAGATGATGGTGGGAAAAGAATGTAGGATATTTAAACATAACTCCGATATTATCGTAAAAATTTCTCGTTTGCTGAAATTTCAATGCACTTTTCTCTTGCAAAAAAAAAACGATGGATCAATGGGCGAACAGGAGCGCATTCCGACTCATCAGAAAAAGGACGAAAAAAACATAATTATTTCGCAAATTTGTGCTTCCACTGTCTACACGAGAAACACTCTTTCCTTAGGCTCT